CTGCACCTTGTGGAGCTGGGCCTGATCCCCCCGCTTGTGCGATTCGACGCTGTGGTCTCACCCCATGCAGGTCCGTCCTGGTTCTTGGATGTGATAGCGCCGAGAGGCATCATCCCTGGCGGATCTGGCGACGACGACGGCGACGACAGGTGAATTGAACCGTGATGGTCAGTTGCCAGCCGGGAAATTGGGGGTTTGACGCCAGTGTTCGGTGTGAATGGTGGGTAATGGGGCCAACAACAACAGCAACAACAATACAACACTCCTTGATAATGCGAATGTTGGGCTGTTCAGCGCGATGTGTTGTCATGTTTACTTTCGCCCATTTGTTGCTCTCCAACTGACATCCGGCCCCATTATGCATTGTATCCCAGCCTTGGTCGTTCTTCACGCCACTCGTTGATCACCAAAACAAACCCTGCATTCGTAGCCTTGAAGGCCACTGGGCAGCTGCACCTCCGACCCATCAATCAATCCAACTTGGCTTGGAGCATTTACAATGGGATCTGGTTTGTTGTTCTCTCTGCACCTAATGGGTTCCGCATGTTACCTTGGCAAGGGTGGGGTAAAGAGACTACCTTTCCTACCTTATTCTCCCTGTGCTTGAGCGACAACTTCTCATGTGGATTTATACTCACTCTACCTTACCCTCGTCGCCGTCTTCGTCGCTATTATGATCGTGTCGTCGTTATTGCCTTATTGTCGTCATCATCGTTGTCGCTACTATCGTCGCCCTCGATGGGAGCGACTGAGTTCACGGAAAATTAAGTCGCGCAGACACAAGGGACATATCCCCCAAACGACAGCTTTCCTGACGAAAGCTACGTGTTGTGTCTGCGCGGTGACGGAACCAGCTATACCGTGTTCGTCGTTTGCTGAGCATCACTTCGACGGTGAGCAGATCGCTTGAACCGAGACAGCAACACCAACACGAGATGGGTAGACCACGCTGACATTGATTCAAGCGCATCTCACGCGGCTCCATTGGCCTTCGATACTTCCTTGTCGTCCAAGTTTGTCATAGATCCAGCTTCCTCGTCTTCCAGCACCACCTGCATCTCGTCCTCCGCCGCGTGCTCTGTCGGCAAGGAGCTGATGCTGGTTCCGCGCCAAGCCGGCACCCCCTCATGGCATGGGATCGTACCCATCGCAACGCTCTTCGCGGCATCGCATCTCCTGCGATGGCGGACCCAATTGATATTCGGTTGCCGATACAAGTAAAAATATACAATTTCACGACAAGAAGAGAGGACTTTGCCGCCAACTCTGCGGCAACTTTGTAGACCTATCCCCTCTCCCCTGCCTAGTCTTGTCTCCTCCTCTCGTTTGTACTAAAGAGGTGCAATTTTTCTCCACAGCATCACATTTCACTTTTATGAAGGGAGAAGAGGCAGTTTGGGCAATACCGACAAACGAAACATCACCATTTTTCGTAACGACTTAAACAGACTGTACCACCCGCACTAACACTCGATGCCACTCATCTTGAGCCCCCATTCTCTCTCTCTCTCTCTCTCTCTCTCTCTCTCTCTCTCTCTCTCTCTCTCTCTCTCTCTCTCTCTCTCTCTCTCTCTCTCTCTCTCTCTCTCTCTCTCTCTCTGTCACGGTCCCTGCTCCGCGCCCTCTTCTCCTGTTCATACCTACGCGAGAACGTCCCAAGGCGTTCCCTCCCTGGCGAGGTGGCGCAACCCCAGCCGCGCAAGGGGCAATAGAGGAAGGTCTTTTTCCTCGAAAAGAGCAACTTGAATTGGTCCTGCTTTTTCGAGAGTTTGGAGCCATAGCTCCGGGGTCGTGCAATGTTTGTCGATTTTGAGACCCGGAGCATGCATGAAGATATGGGAGCGGGTGTCGAACAGCTCGCAGTACATTATGCGATATAAAATCATGTACCCACCTCCTTGCCGGAGCAGATCAGAGGTATTCTCACTGTACTGGCGGCGCCGATGGTTCTTCCTCGCACCCCGTACGGTGCTCATACCGCCGTCGCTCTGGGACTCCTCGTCTGCCACTCTCTTGATGTCTTCGACGGCCTTGGTGACATACTTGTATTTCTTGGCCTCAACCGCGAGATGGGGTCTCATCAGTCCATCAGGAATCCCGAGTGGCAGCGCTCGGGGTCCGGCCCATTGCTTGTCATCGACGCTGGTGGTGCCACTGTCGACCGTGGAGTAGAGTAGATCAGCTCGACCCTCGATCCAGCCGACTTTGACATCTTCATATCCGTTGCTTCGCAATAGAACGCCGAGGGCTGTGAGTGCCTCGGCCAGCTCGATTTGACGACTTGCCGGACATCGGTCTCTTGTGTCAGGCCGGAGGATGTTGAGCAGTCTGCCTCTCTCTCGCGCGAATTGCTGCGGGTCGAGAGGTGGTGGTCGAGAAAGAGAAGACCTCGATCGATGAGAACTTGATGCCTGTCGCGTGGGAGGAGATCGAGATCTCCCGCGACTCTCCGTGCTGGCGGGACTGGCGCGTCTTGCAGGAATCCTACTGAGAACCTTTTGCATGAACTCGTCATACGGGATGCTCATGACACCGACACCTTCAATCGAGACCTCTGCAGAGAATTGAGATCTTTTGGAAGGGAAGTCTTTCTCGGTCAAACGCCATACTTCGTCCACCGCATCGCGGTTGTGTCGACCATCAGTCAAGACACCATCCTCCTCACTTTGAGGGAAGTGGGACCGGTTTCCTGGTACCGGGTGGTAGTGCTGAATTGATGCCTGATCGAGAAAGGCCTTGTTCTTGTATTGGAAGTTGTTGGCTTTGACGAGATCCAATAGGTCGCGGCCTGCCTGGACGAAGACATCTTTGTCCACGATTTCGATCTTGGGCAGTCGAATCTTCTTCAGCTTGGGATTGATGCTTGTTTGGCCCCTTCTGGACTTCTCTTCGTCCCATTCGTAGAGGTAGGGCGGTTGAGGCGACAGGATTGACAATATCGTAGGATTATCCGTACCTGGGTCAGACATCTTTGATATTATTAGCAAGTCGCGTTGGAAGCTTGATCAGGAAGGCAAACCGTCAAGATGCAGCCAGGCTGTCAATATGGTAGCGAGTGTGGCCGGTGGAGAGATTGGGGACGAGTCAAGAGGAAGGTGAACAAGTTCACAGTTGATGGAGGATGGCGAAGTTGAGATTCAGATGAAGACGGAGTGATGAGCAAAAATAATAACAATGAAGATGATGGGAGCAACGGCGAGGGTCCAGAGAAGTTGGAAGGAACCAGAGAGACCGGAGGACGAGAGAGCCAACGAGAGAAACTGGAAGACACCAGAGAAACCAGAAGACGCCAGAGAAACTGGGAGACACCAGAGAAATTGGAAGACGCCAGAGAAACTGGAGGAGGAAGGAGGCAACAGAGAAAGTGGAAGGTACCAGAGACACCAGAAGGCGCCAGAGAAACCGGAAAGTACCAAAGAAAATGGGACAGCACCAGAGAGAAAGCTGCACAGGCTGAAGTCCTGCTCCCAAAGAGTTCTCTATGTTGCCTATCGAGTGAGAGCGTTTGCAATGAGGCAGGTCTCAGCACAGAGCTGACATCTTGCCATGGGGATGACTTGGATCGAAGGTGGCCATGGACAAGGGAGGACAAGCTAAGCTGTTGCTTCGTGCTGCACATCATCTTATGCAGAAGGATTGCCCAGCCCGGCCATTTTCCACTCCCGCCAAGGTCAATAGATATGTCACGTCTTCGTACAAGTACTTCTCTTATGGTATTTTAAGCACTTTAACAGAGGTTCTCTATCTTCACCGCTGCGGCAACAATACACGATACGGATGTACACGGGAAGTCTGCTTTTGGTGCCGTTGAAAGGTGGATACCTCATCCGTCTGTCATTATTCCATTGTCTGTTTGATGGTCTAAAGACAGGGGAGCAGCGTTTGCTACGTCAAGGGGCACAGTGCGCTTGAGCAGGATCATGCTGGGAAAGTGAATTGAGTTCAACATCGTAAGCTGCAATGTCCACGGCACGTCTGCCTGGTTTTTTGCTGTGTCTGACATGCCCCAGCATGTTCCGATATTGTCACCACATCTCACAGCAATGCAAGGCACTTGCCTTGTCAAGACTGTAGATTATGGACCAGAGAGTTGTGCGGATATTGCTTGTTCAGAGCGATGTCTCTTCTGTCTGGATAATGCCTGCTTGAATCAATTTTATCGAATCATATGTCCTATTTTTCCTTTGCTAGAGCAACTACTTTTCCTCTGTGCTCGCCGTTGTTGTTACCACTGTAGGAACTATTATCAATACTGTTATTGCTGCTATCGTCGTCATCGTCATCGTCTACTATCGCTGTTACCCCTCGTTCCTTGTCGTCGTCCCTCATCTATGTCCTCATTAAAGTCACCCAGTGCACAGGGAATATAGCTGCCTAGACATAAGAAAAGTAGGTGGTGTCTATTCAATCGCTACTTAAGTTAAAGATAGCTAGACCTCTTGTCTGACTTCTTGCAGGCAGTCAGCAGAAAGTGAATGGCCTGTGGTTGGCTTTAGCATAATGAAGCGCAAGGGAAAACAGTGGCCATGGCGTTGGGCATTGACTTTGTGTTGTTTGTCGACTGGCAGGCTATTGGATGGCTGCCAACCCAATCCATCCGATCAGCCTACTACCCGTGGATCTACCCGAGTTTGGCAAGCACCTGTGTGTGTAACCTACCTTACCTTCCATAAGGTACTCCAGGTTGCACGGAGAATCTGGATGTGTGCGGCCATTTCCTCGCGCCTCTCTCCTGTCGCTTTCACCTCCACACCAAATGGGGAGCTTCTCAAGATCTCGCCGCTCGCCCCTTTTTTTTCTTTTCCTTTCCGCCGACCGTCATCATCAGTATCCTTTCTCACCCTTAATTGCATCTTTCCGCTCCTCAGCTCTGCGAGTCTCGGGCGTATTGTAACCTCCAAACCGCAAGCATCGCATTCCACACCCATCACATCACACTTCATCTATCAAGACTCTTCGGGAACCAACAACAATACCACCACGCCTCATCACCAGTCATCATGTCTAACCTCAACTGGACCAAGCCTGAGCAGGCCTACCGCGATGGCAAAAGGCTGACTCTGTATCCATACGAGCCCACCCGCCCGCATGGTTCGGGAGAGTACCATCGGAATCCTCTTCCTCGGGACCTTCCATATGGCCATATTCGTGACTTCAACACCAAGGCCGACTTCACAAAGACCCAGGTCGAGATTGAGATCCAGGAAATCATCCGTCGAGGTGTCAATCGAACATCCCAAATCTTCCGCTGCTCGGTCATCAAGGCTCCAGAGGAAGAACGGCCCGCTGCCCTCCAGGAGCCACTTCCACCCTCGAGAGACGAGAACGGAGGGGTTCTGCCCGGGCAACTTGCAGCCAAGGTTTTCGACTATGATTACTATGAAAGCGACTTTGGAGGCCCCTGGGGCAACGATGAGGAGGCTGACGGAAACCACTGTCGCGAGCACGCTGTCTATGCTTACTATCGTCGGAACGGCAAAACCGGGTATCCACACATCATGCCGCAGTTCTATGGCAGCTGGGTCATCAAGATTCATAGCGGGAGCGATGAAAACAACCAGCCGAAGTTCAGATACGTCGGTCTCATTCTCATCGAATACATCCACGGCTATTCTGTTGAGAACCTGTGTCTGCGTGACCGCGACGGCGACTATTGCAGCGCTCTCTACCCCAGTACCCTGCCTGTGGGCTTTCCTAACCACGACGGCTCCTGGTTAAACGTTACGTTCGACGTGGAGAAGCGACAGCATGTCGTGAAGGAGATGCTTCATGGCGTTGTGGTCGGCATGCACTTAGGTGTGCAGCATACTGAATGCGAGCCGTGGAACCTCTTCGTTACTATGCGAAACGGCCTTGTGACCTTGGAGAAGCCTCGAGTTGTCCTTCTCGACCATAGCTACACCGAAGTCTGGTCTCTGACCAAGGACGCCGAAGCCGAAGGCGACACTCACTGTCTCCAGAAGCTTCCTTACCCTCCTCACCCTATCGAGAGGTGCAGCATCGAAGCTCTGGACACACTCGAAGGCTGGTGGCCTCCAACTCAGCGCCAGCATCCGGGTTTCAACGAGGAGAAGTTCGACGAGTGGCTGTGCGAAGAGAACGTTTTTGGGCCTCACGTTGAAGCGAAGAGCGTCTTGGACCCCTTGCTTGGCCAGAAGAAGTTGTGGCCACACAAGTACAAGAAGTACTCTACCTTCGCGACCTTGGACCTTATCGAGGCGAAAGAGAAGGAGGTGCGGGGCGCAGTTGCTTCCAAGATCATTCAATTTGCACGCGAGAACGAAGACATGAATTCGGACGGCCGTCAGGAGGAGAGAGAGAAGGCCATCGCGGAGGGCGTTCGCAGACGTGCCACATTCGTAATGACTTCGGACTCGTACTCACTGTGGCTCCGAACCAAAGTCCGCAAGCTTCGGGAAACCAAAGAGCGCGGGCTTCAGGAAGCCAAACCCCGCGAGTTTCGCGAAACTCAAGAGCGCGAGCGTCGGGAAGCCAAACAGCGCAAGCGTCAGGAAGCCAAAGCCCGCAAGCGTCAGGAACACCAGGAGCGTCGTCGGCAGGCTGAGGCACAGGCTCTCAGCCCACCTCCGCAGGTATCGACCTCTATCACTCGCATCGATTCCTCGCACCACGACCCGTCCCGTGCTAGCACCATCCATAGTGCTACGCCGGCCGGCGCGGAGAATCGTCCCCCCCAGACTCGTGTGTATAGCAGACCCATGAATCAAGAAACCCTCGACCATCTCTCTCGACTTGAGGAGCAACAAGTCGAACGTCCGATACCTGCCGTGGACCGTCCAGGTTCAGGAGGATCTCTAGCAACCCGGCGTCAGCATCGACCCTTATCTATGGATGCCAATATTTCTCCTTCAGACCCGATTAGCCGCCCGACCTCTTCAGGTTCCCCTCGGCCCCAGCTGGCTTCAATTACGAAACGCCCGACCTCTTCAGGCTCGCCTCGGCCCGCTCTGGCTCCGGTGACGAACCGCCCGACCTCTTCAGGCTCTCCTCGACCCGCCCTGGCTCCGGTGACGAACCGCCCGACCTCCTCACGCGCTCCTCAGTCCCCTCTGTATTCAGAGATACACCTCCCACGTGGATCGTCCCCCACCAGCCCGTCCCTGCCCCTTAGGCAGAGATTCGCTTCTCCAAGCCAGATGAGTACCGTGTCCTCATCTGCACAACCCGCGGGCCAGGAAAACTCGCCCAAGTTACCACCAATCGATGATGAGACGAGTTCCGAGGATGAACTTCCGGCTCCCTGGTCGAGAAGACGTTGAACGCCGAGGCAAACTAGCGAGGCACACGCATACATCGTTTTGGTCGGTATGGATGTTGGATCTATTGTGGTCGTGTTCTTGATTACTAACAGTTCATTTAGACCACGTCTATTCCCCTGCCGTCTCATAGCCGGGGAGTTTTCAGAGGAAGATACTGTTGGGCACATGGATTTGGACAGGTACAAACCCAAAAGGAGAGATCAGAGACGGAAGATGTTGGTAATGGATGACACATACACACACAGATTGTTTTCAGTGGTCACGGAAGTTGGATTAGATGTAGGCATTGTTTAGTACTTAGCCCCTCGAGGACCCAGCTCGGCACACGTCGATGTTGTGGGTGAGCCGTCTAATAGGTCATAATGCAACAGAAAAACAAAAAGCCGCGGTTCCCCCTCTTTCCCATTAAAACATGCCCGCTAACCCCCAGTCTTGAATCTCGTCTACATCACGCTGCAGTTGGCGTAGTTCTTCTGGCACTGCTCGAGGTAGCCCATATCCTCCTCGGAACCCTCCGCGACGTTGTGCTGTCTCACCAGGCCGCTGACCTTGAGCGTCTGCTCGCCGTCGCCGTGCCACCACTTCAGCTTCTGCACGAGCGGGCCCTCGTCATCGTCCATGCTGATGGCCCACTTGCCGGACGACACCTCGACTTGGCAGTTGTCTTGCGGGAAGTGGAACTCGGGGAGGAAGACGACCGTCGGTGCGGGGTCTGAGGGTGGCGCGGCGGCCTTGAGTCTGAGGTTGAAGGTGCAGCTGCGCAGGTCGAAGCCGTACTGCAGCACGTCGCCTGAGACCACGACAGGGCTGGGGCGGACGAAGGCTTCGGCGGCGCGGAGGCCTGGCGCGTTGGTGATGGTAGGGTCCTTGGTTGGCTCTGTCGAGATGGACGGGTTTGTGATTGTCTTCTGGAGGTTATCGGGGGTGACCTTCGTCTCATCTGGTACGTCTCTGCTGATGGAGGTACGGGGGTTTTCTGCCGACTGTCTGGGTTCCGGGCTTCGGGGGAGGGGCGACATGGGCAGCGTCTTGTCGTCTAATGAGAACACTGACAAGTCTTCGCCGTTCCATAAATCGCCGTGTTGATGTGTGTTCTGGGATGAGAGTTAGTTGACCTGTCAGAACCAAAAAGGTGAACCGCGTACCTTTGCAACGTAGACCCACAAACAGTGACCTTCCATGCCCGACCCTTCGGCTCCAAAGTAGTTGGCGTCCAAAGCTAGTGATTGATCCGTATAATCTCCCGTCTTGTATGCCTTTTTGTCACCCATGTCGTAAGGAATGCCGAACTCGGTCATAACACAAGGATGCTTGCCCATGCGGTCAATTCCCTCCTGGCGCAGCGATGCTAGCTGGTCCTTGAAGCAGTTGCGAATCGCAGTCTCTCCGACCTTGACCGACAGCGCCTCGTGCCAGTATCTCCCACGTAGCACGCCCACGACATCAACGTTCCAAACTCTGTTCCATCGCTTCGTCATCAGGGTAATACCATCGTACCAATGTGGCGAGAAGCCCATCAACGGGTCGTCGTCCTCGGTGCCCTTGATCTGTGGCGGCAGCTCCAGTGTAGGATACTGCATGAGCATGATGCAGTTCTTGTGAATAGGGCGGATGGCGTCTCTGTAGAGGCGATAAGAGTGCATGAAATAGGTGTTAGTAAACTCCGGGTGGTCGATCGTCTTTCCGGTGTTCGGGTTTTTCGCAAAGTAATCCTTCTTGAGTAGTGTGTCCGTCTTGGGGTCCCAGATACCATGCTGGGCCCAGACGCATTCTCCCAACTTCCATCCCTCGTCACGCTTCCATCCGTACCTCGAGTCGTCGTAGTCCGCGGGCAACCACGCAATCTCGCCGTGGGGGTCGATCAACGAGCGGCCAACCTTGTACGGGCCCATGCCACCCATGTCCCAAGTTTCCACCTCGCAGGCACGACCAGAACCTGTCAAAATAGTCTGCCAGATGGTCGGACACGAGCCCTTCTTGAGTTTCTGTGCGTTGGGAATGACGCTGACGTCGGCGTAGCCCACCAAACCACACCCAGGCTCGTTCATGCTCTCCCAACCCACGACCACCTCGTTCTCGAGGTCGCCGGCCTCGTGTATACGCTTCGCAAGGTGCGCACAGGCAGCGACAAAGTGGCCCTGCAAAAAGTCTTGAATGTTGATACCGTTGATAATGCACTTGGGCGCAAAGTCCCTGCCGCCAAAGAACATGGTGAAAATAGTGGCGGCAGCCAGGCGCCAGTAGTTTGTTGACCAGATCATCTTGGGGAACTCGTCTGGCTTCGGGTAGGTGTTGTGTACGATGGCAGCCTCGGTCGCTGCGAAACTTTGGGGGTTGAGACCACAGGCGTAGATCGTCCACATGGGCGCGCCGGAGCCTCCACAGAACCTGGACCACTTCAAGACGTCAGTATGCGGTGGGAGCGGGTAGCCGGGGAGCGGAGGAGACATACCACGTCCTGGTGGGGATCCATAAAGACATAGAAACCATACTCTTTGGCTATCCTCAGAATCTCAATCGTGTGCTGAATCCATTCCTCGTCGTAGCGTCCAGGGCCGGCGGCCTCGATGGCCTCCCATGTGAAGACATAACGGATGGTGTTGTAGCCGTATCGCTTTATCCTGGAGAAGTGCTCGTGCGCCTCCTCCTTGGGGAAGGGCCTGTTGTGGAATTTGACGTTGTCGCCGTCGAAGAAGTCCTCGCCGACGTGGGAGGGCTGGTCTGGCTCGCTGGGCAGCTTGGCGTCGGCGGCGACGTTGAGACCCCGGAGGACGACCTGTCTGCCGTAGCCGTCGCGGAACTGGCCGTCCTCGATGGTCAATCGCAACGAAGACATGACGGCGTTTCTTCGAAGTGGTTTCCTTGGGCAGTGTGATAATCGGCTCTTGACAGCGCCCGGGTGATGCGGTGTCGAGAGGTTGTGCGGTCTGCTGCTTGGCAGAAAAAGAGGTCCAGATAGGAGAGCACGAGGGACGATAGGTGCGAGGTCGAGTCCAGAGCCGCGGCGGACGGGATGCTAAAGGTCCGAGATTGAAATTGGGACGGTTCGATGACGTCCTGATGGGGGGCCGTGATTAGTGGACCGCGACAGGGTGCCTTATCACGCCAGTGCGCACGACGCTTTAGCGACCGCCAAGCGCTAATTTGGACGGGAAGGGTCTTCTGACGACGTTGGCACCCAGTGCTCTTGACCATGAAAGTAACCTTGAGTCGATGAGTAACGGAACAAGATAGGAGAGTTCAGTCAGGAAAACTTGGAATTTGGGATAGTAATACAGTTTTTATAAAAGCGAATTCTGCACATAATTAACAAAGCAACCACGACCAGCCACGACACCTGCTCCAACACATCATCAACTGTCTGAAGAAGGCCAGCGTGACTTGCACCGGCCACACTATCGCTCGTTTTCGTGTTCCAGAACCGACCCGGGGGCCAATTAGCGTCGGCATCCAAGGCTTTCAGCGGGTATAGCGGGGCCCGTAGCGTCAAATCCCGCTTGAACTCCGGGTCGACGCCGCCAAAATCGCGGGGACAGCGGCCGTTCGCCCCGGGGCTGGGAGCACGTCGCCGTCGAGCTTGGACTTCGCAAGGGACGTGGAGCGGTGAGTCGGTGACGAGACACCACGCCACCGAAGCCTTGTGTGGAGTGAACCACGAGTTTACCCAGAGGATTACCCGATCAGTCAATTTCCTCCGTGCGCCGCTTAATCCTCGGGGGCGTTGCTCAGTGAAACAGCATCGTCGTAAGCTTATTGAATTGACGTTGGCGGTGGCGTTGGCGTTGCTGACGGTGCGGACGAACTCTGGGTCCGGAGGATAAACTCAAATTGCCGCATAATCACCGGCCATTCCGGACATCAGACGGTTAAAGTGAACAATTGTTTACATTCAGTCAAACTATCTGCTCCCATCTCAAGCATGAATACTGCTCCTGTCGGTATCACTGCTATACCTCTGCCCAACCCCGAACGTTCCTCCCCCAGGACTCGGCTCAGGAGAGCCCCATATCAGATCGGTGTACAAGCTTGGCTTGATGTCATGCCTCCTGAGGAAGTAATGCTTGATGAACCATGGCAGGTACTCGGCGACCTGGTGGTGCATGAATTTGTGCTTCGATACCGCAAACACCAAGTCCAAGTCCTCAAGGCTTCGTCGCTTGGTCTCCTCCAACAGCAGAAACACCAGAACTAACGCAACTATATTGAGCCCCGCAAACAGGTAAAGCGCGCCGTCATCGTCCAGCCCTGAGTTGATGCTCGGGAAGAAGATGGACAAGAGTCCCGCAAAGCCGAGGTTGACCGCGATGGCGAACGCAGCGCCGGCTTCGCGGTGCGAGAGGGGGAAACTTTCCGACGCGTAGGTGAACGGGATCGGGCCCAGGCCAGGCGAGTAAGCCGCCGCGAAGAGGAGGAGGAAGAGAGCCACGACGCCGATCTGAGCAGTGTCATCCTTGATGTTGAACGCCACGCCCGCGAGGAGCATGAAGACCGCCATTATTGGCAGCGTGAGCAATAGCCACTTTCTGCGTCCGAGAGTGTCGATCGTCCGGATGGCGGGGAGCCCAAAGACGAAGTTCACGGCCCCGTACCCGAGACTGAAGTACATGGCAGCCCGGTCGTCCTGACCGGCGCGGCTGAACAGCGTGCCGCTGTAGAAGGCCAATACGTTGATACCGCACAGCTGCTGGGCTAGCGAGACCGTCGAACTGCTGATCAGCGCGTTTCGCAGGCGTCTCTCGAGGAAAAGCTGCTTGTACTGGCGCAAGAAGCCAGCCAAGGTCGTGATGAAACCAGGGATCATGCCCTGCTCGGCGGTCTTGCTCGACATTTCCTCTTGCTCGATTGACTTGTGGACGAGGTAAATGTCTCGGAGGGCCTGCAACTCCGTATTCCTCAACTTCCTGAGAATTTGGTATGCCCGTTGCGGGTTGTAGCGGGGACTCGACACGCGCATCAGGTATCGCGGGCTCTCGTCACAGAAGAAAATGACGAGGAGAAGGAGTGCGAGTGCAGGCACGAGAGGGGCGGCGACCATGAGTTGAAAGGTGAGCCTCTTGTTACCGGATACATCGAATATCAGGTTGAATGCGAGCCCAATCATGCTGCCTGCTGCAACCCACAGCTGCCAGGCGAGGATGGACGTACCTCGCCAGAAACCGACAGCAGTTTCACTGGCGAGGATTGGGGTACTGACTGCCTTCAGTCCCATGCCTTGAACAACCATTAGCCCCAGTGCAGGTGTCTCGGAAGCAAATGAGGAACTTACCAATGCCGTTGACGAGACGGATAGCAAACAGCTCCTGCCAGGTATGAGCAAAGGCAGAACCCAGTGAGCTCGCAAAGATCAAAATAGCAGCGACAATCATTCCACCTTTGCGACCGAGATAGTGATTTACGGGCAGTGCCAACGGACAGCCGAGTACTGCGGCGAATAGGAATGGTGACGAGTTGGCAGCCCCTAGCTTCCAATCATCTGGCCGGACGTCGAACCTGTTTCCGCTCACAATCTCGTCGTTTGACTCCAGAGGCTGTGTCATGTTCAGACCGAACTCGTTGGCGTACAGAGATGCGCCGTTAAGAGATGCTTGAACATGGCCTGCGATACAGTAAGCTTACACTCCGGTTCATGATCGCGGGATTGCCAAAAAGCTATCTTACCTTGGAGAAATGCCGCAAGAGAGACAGTAATGATGATAGTCCACATACCCCTCTCGCTGAACGGAACATCACGCTCCCGCCGCAGCGCACGCTTCTCCTCCGACGTCAACTGGACCGGCAAATCTTTGCCTGCGCCCGGGAAGGTGTTTCGCGCGACTTCGTCGTACAATTTAATATCCTTGGCCACGCGAGCAGCCCGGAGCAAAGCAGTCGTATCGACCGTCAGCCGATCAGCGAACGACTTTACGTCGGCTTCCAGCTGTTCATCCGTGTAGTGGGCTTTTCACTCAAAGTCAGCACGCAAACGCGAACATGAAATAACATCCAAACTGACCAAGCGGGTTCTCAATCACTGCGCGATCGTTAATCTGTCGCCGCCTCGCCTGAGCCTGCGCCGTCGGCCGTTCACGGCCCGAGTACGACTCGGCGTGTCCCAGCGTGTCCATCGACGTCAATTCCATCTTGATGATCAGGCTACTTCCCTGCTCGCGTGGGGCGAATCACCTTGAGAGAGGAACCATGCGGGAAAGAAGACCTCAAACGTAGGGCTGAAGTGTCCCAGAAGGCCAAACACCAATCCCGGATCATAATTGAAGGGCGACCCGGGAAGTTCAATCATTTTAAGGCTCTCCCGCCCATCGTTCCACACAAGACTTCGCGAAACGGCACAAACCATAGTCCTAGAATCCAAGACCCCCAGCACATCCCGCCGCCCCGCGGGAACGAGGGAAAAGTCCAATGGGAACGCAAAGTACACTTCCGCGTCTGGGGAAGGGAAAATGAGACCCTGGCTTGGCCAACGTTTTCCTCTTCCCTCGTGTGTGGGCAGGCTGTGCAGCAGCAGAAAGACCGCGCTTCCAATGTGTCTCGCGCACCATGCACAAGGCCGTCACTCAAGTGAATCCTTCCGGGCTCGGCCAACGACGAGACAAGTACCGGTGGACTCGCATACTCCTCATGCGGAGTAGTGAGCATCGCAAGGGAGGAAGAAGCGGGGAGAGAGGTTGGAGTCCTGGTTGCCTTAAAGTCCTTGCAACTCTCGCGTACGTAGGGCTGGCTGGCTGGGCCGCCATAAGTGGCGAAGCCGATCCTTCCCAATCTCCCTTGTCACACCCTCCAAGAAGCCTCTTTCGGGTGTGAAAGCTGCATGTCTGACTTCAGCTGCCCATGCCGTGACATTGCTTTCCATTGTGCTGGGAAATGGCACGTCGACTTCTCTCCACACCGAGATTGGGTTTGGGGGAGACAAGGCTCTGGGTTCCCGACCGGACGCGGTGTAGGAGGTCTCCCATGTCGAGCGAGATGGCTCACATCGGAGCCTCGTTTCGGGCACAAACAAACGCCTCTCTATTCTCGAGATGGAAGGGTTCCCGTGGTTATTTCCTACACCGATGGATGCAAGAAGAAAAAGGTCAGCCAGACGGCTAATGCACCACGAGCAGGCAGCACTTGCGAGTGGCTTACCCCCGCGAGCCAATGGCCATGTCGAGCTCGCATGTGTCGTTGTCTTGCAGGGCTGCAGATCACACACGCCTGCTGTTGTCATGATGAGCAAACATTCAAGACCCAACCGAGTGCTCAAATCGTCCCGTGTCTCCGCTGCGCCACGCGGGTGCGGCCCCGACTCCAACTTTCCACTTGGCAGAGTCGGGGACGGGATGAACTGGAAGTTGGACTGGACTTCAACCCCCCCTGCAAAGACGGGCGGCGCTAACCCCGGTCTCCAATGAAATACCCCGCGGGGATGCCCACCGACTGGAGATGAGATGGTGTCCGAGAAAGGAAGCTCAGACAAACGGATTCATAGTATTGCATCTCGGACTCGAAACTGAGCCACCGACAGTTTGCTGGCCAGTGCCAGGGCTCGGGGTGGGTGTTTTTATTGTATTCGGTGAGGAAATCCCAAGGCGACCAACTGTTACACACACCGCAGCGGTTGCCTGCTGTGCGCTCGTGATGGCCGCTGATGTGGCCATGCCCCCCATATTCCCAAGGAAGGGTGCACCGTGTGTGTGTCTCGGGGGGTGACTAAACACGGGTCATAACCTGTCGATCGCGGGGGAGGACAGGGGGTCCGGCATCGATGGGGAGGGCACGGAATAAAACTCCTTCATCACTGATATCGACCGTAAGTCCTAACACATCATTGTCTGGCCCGTCTCGTGTTCCCCACGTCAGACTTGGACTTTCTCACAATTTGCATAACATGTGCCTCAACAAACGCTCGAGGCCAGCGTCAACTGATTCCCGCGAAACACTGGGGCGCGGCTGCGTCCCGAACGACTGATCCGTCGACCAACAGCTCGATATTCAACACAAGGCTTGAGGCAGATCGACACGATGGACCCCATCAGCATTTCGGCCTTCACCATGACGCTTGTCGGCGTGGCCGGCAAGATCGTCGAGGGGACCGCAAAGTTCGTGGAGGAGACGAAAATGATTGACTCCAGCATTCGCGACTTCCACGAGACGATCCGAAATCTGTATGCAGCGCTACGGAACGTCGCCCGGATCCTGGACCAACACCCGACACAGCTTCCTTTTGAAAGGGAACACCACCAAGATATTTACCGGATCTTGAAGTCGTGCAGCGGAGCGCTTGAGAGGTTGAGGTCGGCGCTGCCAGAGCTAGCCCAGAACTCCGGCCCCATCGCGAGGGCGCGCGCCAGTTTCACCGCGACGCTGAAGCAGAGTGTTATTCGAGATCTGGTGTCGCACATCACGTCGTATACCCAGGTTCTTCAACTGAGTCTGATAACTCTGTCTCTGTAAGCAGATCAGAAGACCCCGCGAGTTCTCCGAGCATGTCAGTGCTAACAGCAACTAGCGGCTCCGTTTGGAACCAGCAAAAGTCGCAGGACCAAGTCCACATTGAGATTAGAAAGCTGACCGACGCAATTCGTTCTGCCAACCTCGTTTCGAAGGTGACCAGCGTCCATCGGCGACCATCAATGGAATGGGACGATGACGATGGAACCCGGGTAGAGGATTCTCTGTCCGTGACGAAGGAGATCCAAGCCTGGCGCATGTCAGCAGACGAGGTCGCAGCGGCAGTGACGCTCCACGATGTTGGCCACGACATCGGCCGAGACCCATCTCTGCATTCCTTCAGCGGTTCCTTCACCAAACTGCCGACTGCAAAGGAGCTTGGCTCAAGGGAGTCTCTCAGCGATGTCGAGTCCGATGACTGGGACCCGGAACCCGAGCGCAAGGACGGTCCAAGCAAGGAAATCCTCAAGCATCAGTACGAGGCCAACCAGGATATCGTGAATCAGCTGGTGAAATGCGGAATCTTTCTTCGGGCGTCGCTGTACCAGAAAAGGGGCATCGAGCTCCGCGAGCAGCTCAGCAAACCGGGATACGACGACGCGTTCAAGTTCTCGGAACAAGCGGCTATGAAGGAGCGCCTCGCCGAGATCCTGCTGTACTGTGAGACCGAGGACGAGACCGCTGAGGCAAAGGTGATTCTCCAAAAACTGCTGCAGGAGGAAGTCAAGCAACCCGAAAACGAGCGAGATGACGAGCGTAGGAGCAGGCTTTACCATGATCTCGGGAGCCTTTACATCAAGCTAGGGAACTTGAGGCAGGCAAAGACGTTCCTGAGCCGCGCTCTTGAGGGGAGAAAGAATCAAGCCCCGATGCCGGTTGATTTGGTGTTGGACACTGCCAACCTGTACATCAAGGCCTTGCAACTTGCCGAGGCTTATGATGAAGCTCGCGGGGTGAAGAACTGGGTCGACACGGATGTCATCCCGCTTACCAGTCGACCAGCCTCGCCTCCCGCTTCAGACACAACACCCGGTCCTCGACGTCCGTCGGCCATGGGAGAGCTGTCGCTGGTGTACGCTTGGTGCAGCAAGAACGGATTCGATATTGACGCTCCAACTGGTTTCCACTTTGATGCTTGCGACTTTTTGACGAGCACATCGCCTTTGCACAAGGCAATCCAAGACGAGAATGTCGAGATCTTGAAACTGATGATGGGACACGTCACCAGCCTGGAGAACGGGGGTAACGTCGGTCTACCAACGCCGCTGCTGCTTGCCGCCTCGACAAGAAACCGCGAAAGCGTCGGGATACTTCTAAAGCACAATGCTCGAGCCGATGTCAGGGATAGTGCGGGACAGAGCCCTCTTCACAAGTGCCAGAGCGAGTCCGGCGGCGTCAACGTTGCCCAGCTCCTCCTCGACAACACGCCCGGCCTGTTGAACCTCATCGACAACTCGGGAAAGACGGCCCTGTACATGGCGTGCGAGATGGGCAATAAGGGAATGGTGAAGGTCCTCCTGACTCGAGGGGCAGATCCAAACATCTGCCACCAGGCAAGGAGGGGGTCTGCATCATCCGGCACAGAGAGCCCCAACATCTGCACCCCGTTGATTGCAGCAATCCAAGTAGTGGCGACCAGAAGCGCCCGAAAGATCACCGTGATAGAAATGCTACTTACCCATGGTGCGAACCCGTATCTCACGGATGCGAACGGGAGGAACGCCTTCCAGGCCGCAAACAATTCTGGGTTGGCAGGGTCGGAGATCAAGCGACTTCTGCAGCAGCATGCACAAATGCCGACGCGCAAGTCCAGCGATGCCTCTTCGTCAACCGTCTTCACGAGGTCTTCCACGTCGAGCGAGGCTTTTCATGGTCCGCCGGGGCAGAGACGGGGACTGATGAGGTTTCTGAGCAAGACGGACTCGAACAACTCTGGCGTCGATTCGGTCCCAGAGCGGGAGTAGATGCACGAGTTTAGAGAATGCGATAATGGCGGATACGATGATTTGTGCACTTATAGATACCCTTGTATGCGAGCGAAAAATGAATTGAGTTGATCTGTTAGCTTCCGTCGATTATAGTGGTCGATTAAATTGGTGTTTTTCCCATCTTCGAAGTGTTGTTGACAGCAGCAGCACCGACAAACTAAGGGCTGTTGCGAGGTAAGGTACCTTAGGTACCTAGACGGGTCGCGATGTGGAGCTTAGCGGGCGCCTTATCTTATCGGGTCGTCACAAATGCTCGAAGCGGGGCATGATGTAATAAGGGAGGCGCCGTGGCTGCTGTGGTGGGGCTTGCACTTTGTAGCGCTCACCACACATTGCACCTGGACTTGTCGTCTCATAAACAGTACCTCCTACGAGCTCTCACGACCCTGGTCACTGGTGATGCCCCGCCATCGGAAGAAGACCTCACTTTCATGATTCACACCCTCAGTTGCCAGCCACCATGTCGAGCTCCAAGGCTGCCGTGAAGGCCATTGGCGACTCTGTCAAACAGCAAAAATGGGACGACGCCATTCAGAAGGCGACTGAGTTCCTCGAGCGCGAGCCCAAGCACTACCAGGCGTACGTACCTTCTCTCCTCAAATAACTCTTTTCCTTGCAAGCCTGCTGACTCAATTCGCAGAAATATCTTGCTGGCTTTTGCCCTTGACAAGAAAAACCGCGTCGATGAGGCTGAGAAGGCATAC